TCATAGAATTTATATGGCTAACAAAATCTATGAAATATATATTATTTACGATACATGCTTAAGCTAAAAATAATAATAATATGTTGACATTTTTTACTTGCAGCCTAAATAATAAACGCACCAAACTATAACTAAAATTTGGAAACTGATTAATTTAACAATAGTCGACAATATTACTGTATAAACAATAAATAATACTTAATAGTGTTAGATTATATAAATATTACTTTTTAAACCAAAAAAAAGTAAAATTAGACTGATTTTGAGCTTTGGAATGGTTTTGAAATTATATACTCTATAAAAACCAAAATAAGTATATACATCATTAACTTAATACATTTTTGTTTTCTTTATGTGATTGTCAATAGTTTTTAATTTCAAATAAAATAGCAAAATAAAAATAAATGTATATGCAATCATAAAAATTGAAAATAAATAATATTTATACCAATATATATATATATATATATATTGTGTATAAATATATTTTGTTCTAGTCATGTACAATTATATTACTATTTTTCATAAAAATTGAAAATGAAAAAACGTATTTGTATTACTGTCAAAAAAATTGAACTATAATAATAGTTACTTTCGCTAAATTATATAGAGTAATGTTTTGCTACAATGCTCAAAATATTTTTTTCAAATGATATAATGTCACGTTTAAATTAAAAACAATAATTTTTTTTCCAATATTTTGAGCTAGAATGTGAGTAACAAATGCTCAATATTGAAAAGCTTTGAACTTTAAGATTCTGAACAAAGGAAGAAACGCAATGATTTTATAATAATATTCTTTTATTTCCATGATATTTTATTGTGAACTTATTTTCGGCAGAAAAAGTAATCAATAAGTTATATACGTCAACTTTTAACATATCGAGAATTTTAAATATATTCTGTATGATACTTTTAACATTTCATTTTTCGATTTACCGAAATATTATCTTAACGTAATGAAATTTTATCAATAATTGTATTCAGAATAGTATTTATAGGATTTTTCAAACCATAATAATAAAAAAAAAAAAAAAAACAGAGAAAATATTTAAATGTTTTCCTTGAGTTTAATTTCAAAAATATTTAAATGTATTATTGATATTGTTAGTGGAAATACGATTTTATTCGATTTTTAATGTGCGGCTAATTCACTAATAATATTTAAAATAATTAATAAGCTATAGTAACAAATTGCAAAATATATAAATATAATATTAAATATAAATAATTAAATAAGTCAACTGAATTATAAAAAGATTAAAACAATGAACATTTTAAAAAATCAGCTGTCTACCTCCCGAATTAGTCATTCGAAATAATAGTTCCCTATTTATCCCCTTATCCCCTCTCTTCTAATTATATCCCAAACCACTTCAATCACTTATCAATACATTTCAGAATCGTTATTCGAATAAAAGATTCACTATTTCATTATTTTATTTTTTTTTTATAATTTTATGTATAAAATCAATTTTAATGTTTATTAACATGTTTGCATATGTGAAACTTTTAGTAAATTGTGAATATTATAATTTATAAAATATTCAAATTATTTAATATAATTTCAGTTAAAATATGATACATATAAATATAACGAACTGTATAATATACATATGATAATTTATTTAAAAAAAAAAAAATATTGTAATGCATTTGAAAAAATTTAAATTTGATAGATAAAATCATATGTTAAAAGTTTTTTAAATTAATCATCGTCATGAAACATACAACTAAATCACGTGTCATATTATTTCTCAAAGTTATTTCTAGTAATATGATGTCAACTAATAACTATTTTATTCACATTATGGTTAAATTCGGATTTTACGAATTTACATCTGTCACACCTATTTGGGACGTATATATTAATTAAAGGAAAATTTTTAAAACTTTATAAAATATTATTAATGGGTTGAATAATTTTTTTTTTTTTTGCAAAATTGTAAAATTTACTCGTAATTCAGTTAAATTATCTTAAATTTGTTACATCAGACATAATTGCGGTAATATTTTATACAACAATGACAATATCATAATTTTTAATTTGTTATTATCATAATTTATGGCGCATGAAAAGAATACACTTAAACAAAATATAATTTAATAATAGAAAAAGTTTTGAAATTATACATATTGCTTAAAAGAAAAAAATATGTTGGTAGAATGGCTCTCGTTTTTAATATTTTTCCTCTTTTGAATCTAACCTATGCGGTTGAAACTTCAGTTCATCAACTTCATTATCACGCGTTGGTCACCCCAATCAATGAAAAAACCAATTAGTTTCACTTGCTATTACACCATTGTATACACCATTTCAACAATCCAGGTGTTTTATTGTTTTATATTATATAAAATATCTGTTAATTTCTTATTTATAATATTTGTGTATTATCCATGCGTATGCGAATCATAGAGTACCTATATTAATTTTATGAAAGTTCTCATTTCAATAATGAATTTAATACTTGTCGAGTATCTACCTTATAAATCTATTTACGGAGTTCCGTTTATATTTTTAAAAGTTATATCAAAGAACACCATGGCCATAATGTTTAAAATACAATTTAACTAATTTAACTAATTAACGCGTGAAAAGCGATTTTGTGAATTTTTAATTTTTGTAATTATGTATAAACTTCTTTTGAAAAGTTGATTTTAGTTTAACATGTACTAATATTATTATTGTTAAACATAATGGCATAAAAATTATGTTTTAGTCAAACCCCAGTTGTTGAACTATATACATATAATTACTAATTTATACAACCAATAAATGTTTATATAATATATTCAAATTCTAGGAATATTATAATATTGGTCATAATTTATTTTTAAAATCGTAAGTGATGTATGATTAATGATATTATCATTAATCATACATTATATTTAAATAAACTCTATATGTTTAAATTATCTTTTGTTGTTTGTATGTGACAACTAACAATATAGTGTTGTACTTACTTATTGATCTGGTTAGGTTAGGTACTTTAAATTGAAATATTTACTCTTTCAATATATATATATATATATATATATGAATATACTCTTATGTAAACCAAATAATTAATACAATTTAAAAATAAAAAGATAAATATAGTTAACAAAAAAAGTTATTTATGATTATGTAGAATAACAATTTCAAACTATTGGATGTTCAAGTTATAAACCACAATTCCCATAGGTACCATTTTAAAAATTACACCATTTAATTGTTCTTATTATTGCAGTTTGTATTCATATAGACAACTATTACAGTTTTAATATTTCTTCGATTTTTTTATAAAAAAACTCAAGTTATTATTTTAGATCTTACAAGTTTTAAATATCATATGTCTAATAAAACTATATTTTTATGATTTTTCAAGTATTTAGTGTTTACTAATTAAATCTTTAAACGTTGATTATTATTTTACATTTATATACACATTTAATAATGTATAATATTAGAAATAAAGTATTGTGTTTTTTTATATATTAAATATTATAATGCGTATTATAAAAAACTTAAAATCAATTATTAACCAATAATAAAAAAGTTTAAAGTTTAAATTAATTAATTTCTAAATTGTATATTTATATATACACATTATATTCCAATACAACCGATCACACATTCATTTTACATGAAGTCATAGAAGTTAGAATTGTATTATTCAAAATTCAAAAACTTTTAGTCAGGCAATATTTATAGTATACACAAGGATGTATTGGAATTGAAAAGGGTTCAATTCAAAATAATAATTTATTATTTCATCAAAAATTGGTTTCAACACGTAGTTTCTTAATAATAACTACGATTCAAATATTTTAAATGACATATAATATTACTTTCTCAATATAAAATGAGTATATGATGTTATATAATATAAATAACATAATATTATTTTTTTTATTTAAATATGAAATTTATTTTTATAAGCTGATTTACTTGTAAAGCTTTTGATTTGTTTCGTTGATAACCCTCTACCAATTTACAAAGAAAAAAATAGGACTAGACATAGATATAATTAAAAAATACCTTTAAAATACAACGCGATATTACGATGTAGAACAATGAAAAAGAAAAATTAATCAAATCCCGTTTCTAAAAATACTTAAATGAATTTCAATTAAAAAAACAATATTAATAATAATACCTCGTAAATTAGATCAATATATTATTGTAACGAATTGGATTACATTTTTAGATTGTAAAAAATTATACAATTTTAATTAATTTTAAGAATAACTTTGAAAAATTATTTTAATTGTGTTTACATAATTTATGTTTTTATGAATTTAGATATGATAATCTTCCTACAGTATGCATAAATTTAGCATTATTTTTTAGTAAATTATGCTTTTAGTTTTTATTCAAACTAATTACATTTTAGTTCTTCTATTATTTAAGAAAATATAATAGTTATATTATGGTATAAAGATATTTAAAATAACCATGATTATATAAAACTTAGTAAATTGATTATTTATCAAAAACTTGATACTCATAACATTGTTTTTAATATAAATATAAACAAATATCTCATCAAAATAATCAAAATACAGATTTTTGATTTTTAATGGGATCAAAAACATACAAGACAGTACTATCAAATATAATATAATATGCACTTTCTAACATTTACCAAAAAAAAAAAAAAAAAAAATAGTTCTACTAAAGCAAATTCATAAATTGTATTTATCATATTTTGTTTAAATATTTTGAGTGAATATGACCTTACATTTGTTTTTATTAAAATTATTTAATTATAAAATATAATACAATACGTATTGAGTATTGAATTTATTAAAAAACTAAAATATATGTATATATTTTTTTTAAATTTTGAAAAAAAAAATAATTAAGGCTACAAATTATTTTTTTATATATATAATATACTACTACACTAAATAAATTAGTTAATAACAATATTTTGTCTATGAGTGAGGTAAAAAATGACTGTAATTTTCACTGGGTACATTAAATAATGAATAATAACGTTCCGTATTTCTTCTAGGCCGTTGTCACTCTGGACGTTGGTGCGACTTTCGGCGAATCAATAGTCCATGACTTGCCCAGAGACATGACAGTGTGCACCAAAACTACATGTGAGCTGCTCAGGATACACCAGAATGACTTTAAAAAGATTTGGGACGTAAGTGATGTATTTAAAATAATAATTGATCAACCATGTTTTTTTTGTAACACGGCGCATTGTATAGGCAATTGTGGTACTGCGTTGTTGTTTTCAATTTCATTCTTACTTTAATATTAGTAGGTTCTTTAACGGACTCGTTGCTTGTTTTTACCGTCATTTCTAAATATTATAATAAAATAATCTTTTGGTGGATTTGATTGACAATACTGTAAAATTTTCTAAAGCAGCAAAATTAAAATTATTTAATGAAAAAAAAAAAAACTACATCCCAGAAAATATTTTTTATAATAATTATTGCATTTAATAATATATATTTTTTAGTATTAATTTCTAAGAAGCACGTTTTTTGTCATAAACGAAAGATATGGATTATTATTAAACTTATTATACTCATTAAAAATTCTAGGCTTTTAAACTCATAAGTTGAAATTATTGTCGAATGGAAAAACAATTGTTTTCCTCACGTAGATATTCATATTACTAATTTATTATACACAATGAACTTATAAAGGAAATCAAAGTGGAAATGTAGTTATTTTAAACTCGTTGTTTAATAATAAGTATAACTATAAGCAAAATATTTTTATTTCCATATAATTATATTTCAAATAGAATACAGAGAAATTGTAAATGTTTTAAATAAATCTGTCTTTTTGGTTTAAATAAATAAATAATAACCAGCCAACCTGTAAAAAATAACATAAATATAAATATTTTTTATTTTTCAACACAATCGTTTATTTTTCATCACATATAATTTTCTAGTCGACGGCGGATAAACACTCTATGAATATAAATGTACTTTTTAAAAGTTATATATAAATACATTTCTGTGATCTCCCCACGTCTTTTAACAACATGCATATTATATTATTATAGTATACAACAGTGATAAAAATAATAAATAGGCGGTATAAGTAAAAGAAAAACATAGTTTGTCGAAAAAAATCATTCATTTTGACAACGAAAACTGTTGTTGCGATCCATTGCAGGGGCGACGTAGTCTCACCCAGCTATGCCTATTACGAACTTTGTGCACGTCGTCAATCATCCTTTGCTATTAGCTGTTCATCAGTGGTCTACATCTTGAAATACCTGCAAAACTATGTTAATTTAGACGTTTTCCAAAATCTTATACTATCTAATTCACGATTTACACAATTATATGCGAAAACAAAAAAAAAACCCATTACGTTTTAAACGTGAAATCGGATGTTATTTCGTTGAATTTTCCATTAATATATATTTTATGAGATAATTTCATTAAATTATTGCCTTGTTTTTATACCTATACCTTAAACCATTATCCATAATAAAATATTCTTTAATTTCGAGTTAATTAAAAACCAAAAATGTTATAAGTTGTTATAATGTATGTCAATCCAGCACTCAAAGTTCTTAGTTTCTACGCAAAATATTCACAGCATTTTTAAACAAAATAAAATTAATAAGATATTTTATTTTTATTTTTTTTACTAAGAACTTAAAATTAAGTTTGTTTAATACCAGATACTTAGATGATATTATCCAAACTTTTTTCGACTTAAATTTTTCATAAATTTTGTAAATATTTTATTACAAACTGTGTCTTAAACTCCAGTACTCTTCAAATTACATTTTTCGATTTTTAGTCGTTATAAATAAATTTAAAATAGCTTTATATTGAAAGTAAAAATATGAAAAGTTTTTATATACTTATCCACAATATAATATTAATAAATACCATTCTACTTATCATATTATTTAAATATATTTATATACCTGCCTATATCCTAAGTATTAAGTCGTGTTTTAATATGAGTCATAAAGTGGTTTATTCTTACGCAAAAGACGTACATACGCCATTGACACAATTTTTTTGGATTTTATTAGTTCTAAGGATCATGATTGTCATAGCTGTCAGGATAAAATAAAACAGTTATCTCATCGTAGTAAAAAAAATAATAAAAATATCGTCAAACTCGTAAAGACATTTTTGACAGAGCAGGTGTAGATAAAATATTTATTCAACTCAGTTTTGTTTGTAAAAACTACACAATAACCACTATTTGAAATGCATTAACTATTCTTACTACTAAACTTATTTACTACACATAATAAATTGTCACGCAGATATAACATATAACAGAAAATAATCTTTAATCTTGTACTCAAATTTAAGTTAATTACGAGTTATTATGATTTCATTTATTAAAAGTAGTAATTATAAATATTATTGTATACGAATTTTCAATTTACGACTAGTATATTTTTCCAAATCAGACATTAACAGTTATTTTAGCACATGACTATACGTATAAAATCTCAATAATATATTTAAATTAATTCCTGTATAATAATATATGCTTATAATGAATAAATGATGAGGATGGACATCACTAAAATTTATTGTCTCTTTTATGCATTTCCAATTATAAATAAATTATAAATATACATCTATATTTTATTAGTTATTTAAATATTCGGTTTAAGAACTTTTTAGATTTCCAATATTTAAATTTGTTTTTAATTCAAAAATATTTACCATGGTATTCAATATTATATAATATTTTTTAAACATAATTTTAAGTTATTACAAAAACATATAAGTTGTTTGTTATACATTTACTAAGGTAGAAATATTGAGGATATTTTGTATAATATATAGGTTGATCATGTGTTTACCTCGCTATGGTAATGAATATTTTTTAAATTTGAATATAAGTACCTATATTAAAAATATAAGTTTTGAAGCTTCGCCAGTAAACGACTAATACCTTTCATTTATAAAGTGGTGTGTAGGCGTAATCGGACGTGTATCTATGAGAAAGCAAACACATTGAGACACCATGCTGATACTCCTACATAAATTCGTTCAATTTTTTATTCTTTTTTGGTTATTATAAAGAAACATTTCATGCACATAAAAAAAAAAAAAAAAAAAACACAATTGTATGCATGTTAAAGATATTATTGCTACTATATTATTATATTTAAATGTCATCTGATTGTTTTAAAAAATCCACAAAAATCTATAGGATTTGCCATTAATATTATAACATCATAAGAAATCAAAACTTTTCAAATACTTTCAACATTCTAAAAATCTCTATCATGTCACTAATAATAATATCAATGTACATATTATTAAGTTATTTTACTAATATCTTCCCCGTCAAATATTATTCATTCACCCACATACTACACCATAAAAAAGTATTTTTTAAGTATGAAAAATAACTTATTTTACTATAAACTTTAATCTTTAATATATTTATTTAACCATATAACACCAATAGTGGAAATAATACATTTTTTTTTTATAATTTTTTTTTTCTCGACGAATAAGATTTTGGTCAAATTAATTATTTTGTACTTACTCGCAACATATTTAGATATAAAAATCTATAATTAAAATTACTTATAATAGTATATAGAAAAGAAATTTTCTCATGAATATAAAATAAATAAATAAATACCTATTTTTTATTATAAAAATATATTTGTTACATTGTGTTTGTTTAAAAATCGTAAAAACAGATTTTTATTCTACAAAGATTAAAATTTAGTTTAATTATATTTTTCATTTTTAAAATATATCTGTGTGAAAATGTCTTAAATGAAATCAGTTTTTCTATAATCTATTTCTACAAATTAAATAATAGTATTTATTAGTTTTCAGTCATTTCAACTTTTGAGTATTTTTTCCTTTCAAATTTATTTTTAATTAAAGTGAATTCAATATTTTTTCAAGTTTGATATTGAAGTATAATAGGATCATCTAGTTCTATTTAAACTCATAGTCTGATTAATCACAAAGCAATCCGCCCCTAATAATTACTTTAATAAATAAATCTTTTATGGAAAATATAGTATATACGATCGTAGGTTTAAATATAATATGATTTTATTTTCAAGCATTGTCGTAGCTATTGTTAATTAATTTTATTGCATAGAAAATCTTTAGATTAAGTAAGTTATTCAATTACTATGTCAGTAGACATTGATTTATAAGTTTATAGAAATATGTTTATATTGAGACCTATATATTTTACTTTGGAATTTAAATATAACTCTTATACTATTATACTCAATAACAAAGCACGCTTTAAACTTTATATAGCAGAATGAATTCTCTTTCTGTTTAGGTATTTTATATTTTTCATAATTTTATATTTTTAATAGTCCTTAAACATATTATAAATTGTATTATTAGATATCCTATACATTTATTTTTAACCACTTTAAGACTATGATAAATATTGGTGTATTTTTTAATGCTGCAACCTACTTATTAGCTGTGGATACACAAATATATATTAAATAGTATATGATGCATTGTTTGTATGTATTTTGATTTAAATTAACTATTATTAATATTTTGATTTAATTAAATATTGTACTTGAATTAATTTTATCTAAAATTTTAATCAAATAACAATAAAATGAACAACAAATTACAATAGGAGAAATGTATTAAATATGAAACCAGAGAAATTAACCGACCTATTAGAATCTTCTATTTATATTATCAATCATATTAACAAACAATTTTCATAGCAGTTCATAATAGCATATAGGCTGTATTTCAAATGTTTTGTTTTTTTAATTTTATTTTTAGTAAGAATGACAACCATAGTTGCTGTGGCCATTGGGCATAAAAATACAATACATTAAATCATGTACATATTAAGACATAGATATTACAATATTGTTAATAATAGTGAATAAATTTTTTTTTTTTTTAGAAATATAAATTTAATGATATAAAACAAATATAGATGAATGAAGCATAGATATAAATATTGAATATAATGATTATGATATTTAATTGTTTATTTGAATAAACGTCCATTAGGGCTCAAATTCAGTACAATAATGAAAACTTATCATAAAATAATTACATTACAATAGATATTATTAAAATAATACAAATAAAGCTAAATAAAATTGTAATAGTAAATTAAGTAAATTAAATTTAAAAAACTAAATTCAATATAATAAATAACTTTAACAGT